AAATCGATAACTATACAGGGTAAAAAGAAGCAAAACATTTTTTTTTTCACTTAATCTAATTTTATTGAAGGACTTTAACACAAAATGCAAAAAAGTGAAGGCACCCTAGAATTAAAAAGTCGCACCGTTCAATACTGTTATTATCCTCCATTCAAACGAATTAAGGTCAAGACAATTGCTTCTCAAAGAGTTCACACAATTAAAGAAAAATCTTTATTGAAGGTTATTCCATGTATGGACTATGTCGTCCTCTATATTTCCGCTAGATTCTGCTGCTGGAAAAGCGCTCAATCTCTGGCCCATCTTGTCCCATTCATGTTCCATAGGGTTGAGATGTGGATGACATTGAAGCTTACCGAAATTGTTTGTACCCGACAATATTTATCCTAGAGTACATAAGGTCTCCTTACACGCATTCCCCACTCTTCCAGTTTGTTTCTAATAATTTGGATAATTAAAGGCACTTCAATTAATTTTTAATGAGTGCAGAGCAATTGCACGTGCAGATAGGTTCCTTCCACAATAATTAGTATATTTAATGTACTAGCCCTATTGATATGTCGTTGCAGTGCGTGTATACGCCTTGACCATGGGCACTTCCGGTCCCGGTTTCAATGAATTTCCGGTTAAACCCTAGGATGGTTTAGTGGCATTTGTTGAAAATCTAGCAATTTTTAATGATTATAAGGGATACATGTAAGCTTTGTGCATCTTCCTGATGGTATTTTTAACGGTTTTAAATAAAATAAAGAAATACAAAGGAAGGAAATACAAATCTCCTTTACTACCACCAGCTTGGACCATATCAACTTCACTGCACATTGTCGTTCGTACATACACGGCATTTCAAACAAGCTTTTTTCTGTTTTTCCTAAACAACTAAAGATGGCGAACACATGGAAATTTAAATGAATGAAAGATACACCCGAAAATATATGAAACTCGCACTTCATGCTTTTTAACAAAAGCGGTCATGGTTGAGTAATTACACATTCGATTCCATTTTTTTTGGCCGTAAAAGGCAATCATTAAAAAATGAAGTCAAAATTATGAACACATAGTTAATTAATGTTAAGGTTTTCAAATACTTAAAATAATAAAAGTGGGGACTTAGAAATTTTGACAAGTATAGTTTAAAATATATATTATACCGGTCTTTATCTATGTTGTGAATATAGGATTTTTGCAGAAACCCTAGGTATTACATAGTAATAGTCATAGCACCCTTGAACATTGTACATTTGATTAACATTTTAATCCTTTTCCTATGAATTTGCACCTAATTTTTATAAAGTCTATAAGTTATCACACAATGTTGAAGTTATTGCATTACAAGACTCATATCAGTAATCTCAGTAACTAACTTTTACCCAGGAGTAAATGATCCAAAAAAATCTATAGAAAATCTCCTATTCATTCTTTACTTATGATGTGAAGTTTGTAAGTTACAAATTATTGTCAAAGAAGTCATCTCAATCTTATGCTTTGACCTTGAAAAAGTGTCCTAAACAACAAAGTGTATTCATACAACCATTCTATATGTAATAAGTATGTACAATATGGTATGATAAAGATATTCAAGATATTCAAGATATTATTAAACCACAGATTATGGGACACTTGCATCTTTATTGGGGGTCTTATTGAGACCTATTAAATTCAAAATTAAACATGATACATACACAAACAAAATGTATTTACAGTTCCAGGAAAGTAATAATTACACCAAATCCAGCTTTTAAACATCTGTGTGATTTGTTAGGGGTTGTAGAAATAAGATGAAAAATAAAGGATCCAATGTATAAAAATCATACATAACAACAGTCTTCAACATGAATTGGTAAAAATAAAAGTTACATTTAGATACCTTGAGGTCAGTGAGAATTAGTTTTTAAAGAGCTCATGCTATCAGAAAATCATATTTTCAATACTTGATTTGACTAGATCTCAGTCTGATAAATAATTACACTTTATCCATAGTCAGTGTCTGACAGTAAAAGATACAATCCTGGGTCCTTTCTTTGTCATCCTGTAAATCACAGTCTATGACCGTATTTAAATTGGTTGGAAATCATATTTATCTATGTGTTTCTTAAATCCTCCATCCTGTTTGATTTTCTTGTTTCAGTGTTTTAAGAGAGGATATTCTGTTAGTCTTTGCATAATCTGATAGTCTTTCACCATGCTTCTTAAATCCTCCATCCACCTCCTGTTTGATTTTCTTGTTTCAGTGTTCCAAGAGAGGATATCCTGTTAGTCTTTGCATAATCTGATAGTCTTTCACCATTCTGAGAGTAGACATAGATCATTTCCATAAGCCCTCACTTGAGAATCCTGGAAAATAAAAAATAATGTCTTAGTTGAAAAAAAAAAATGTTATATAATATAAGCTTGATGGAATTCTAAATATAGACAAAAAGGGTATAAATACAAGGTGTAATATCAGATTTTGACTTTTCATATTAACCATGGGTAACACCTCCAGTAAAGAAAAGAGTAAAGGAATGAGTAAAATTCAGTTTGAAAAGAGAGTTCTTTCAGAGAAAGATGTAGACAGAGGTATACCAGTTAAAATTAAAAAAGATGGCACTACTAAGATCATTTCTCAAGAAGAATATAACCAATTATGTCCAGAAAAGGGTGATCCTAATGTTGTCAGAGATTACATAGAAAGATCCTTGATTGCAGAAGAAGCTAATGAAGAATATAACCATTTATTACCAAAAGAAGGTAAGAATTACTATTACAAAATTATGTATTCTGATAAGAAAGTTTTCACTTTCATTTGTTGTGCTTTTGACCATTTTAATTGACCTTATGGTCAAGATTGTGATATATACACTCTGATAATCATTTATGATGTCTCCATGATGTTTACCTCAAAAGTTTGAATCAGGGTATTTGTGTTCAAAGAGCTGAAGAAACTATACAGACAGATCTATAATGATTTTGGAAGCATGCATATTAATGAGGGTAAAGGAGATATGACACTAGATTATTAAAAAGAAAAAGAACACAAACTCATAGAAATGATATTGAAAGTACCTTAAATGAATAAAGTGTCATGCTCCAAGGTATTATTTTTATAAACAGGAGAAGGGTTACAACAGTCCCATGCACTCATAAGAAGACCTTGGGTAATAGAAACACCAGGAAATTTTAATTCCAAACAATCAGATCATCTTACATCGGTTATAAGGTTACAGACTTTATACATAGTTAAGAGGGTCATTAAGATTTCTTTTCTGGTCATCCTAATGAACCACATTATAGTATTCTTTCCCTGTGATATAATGTTAATATTAAATGGAAAATTCAGAATTCACCAGTAATTGAAGTGAAAACTTGCTATCTTTACCAACTATGCTATTAAGGAAACTGGGGGTTAACAAATTAGCCATATTTAACTTATTCTATAGATATGCTATCTTCAGCTGTTAACTATCATTTGGCAAAGAAGAATTTCATACATTTTAGTTTTTAAAAATTGATCATGCATTTTTGTATATATTTATTTCTTTTCTTTTTCTTCTAAAGGAGATCAATATAGTCTAAACATGACCATGACCATCAAGCCCTCTTTATTTAAATATATCATTTACTTATCAATTCAAAAATATAAACATGCATATGTAAATAAAAATAGATAAATAAATATTACAATTGTATCTCATTGAAACTTTACATTCAAGTTTGTGTGTTTCTATGTTGATTGACAAACTGTGTATTTCCAAAGGAAGACCAGCAGCCAGGCTTCACTTCATAGAGAATGGATTATAGATGCGTGCCGTGGTTAGGAACAAAACATATCTTCCAGGTTGAGGACTGCAGAAAATAAAACCCATTTTTGTTATTATGATTTAAATTACATGAGACAATGCCTCTTATAAATGTAAAGCAAAATAATATCTCTTTTATATATGGATTCCTATACTCTAATCAATCATATTAAATGTCATTTGTAAAATGTATTTTGTAAGACAGATTTATTTAGGATAAGACTTTAAATGTTGACATGAATAGCACGCCATACTTTAACCACATGTAAAAACATTCTCTCAAATTATGCAGAACTGGGTTATTTAGCATAGCTGACATTAAACATATAGGTGAGCGATAACATAATCACAATCATAAACAATGTGAAACAACTTTAAACGACCTACACTGTGGATTACAAGCCTTTTTCACTGGGGTAAAATCTTGCCGAGTTTCGCCATGGCCGCCGAACCCGAACCCGACTGTATAAAGATGAAGTCATACATTCCATGTTGATGACTGTAGAAATAAAACCATTTTTTAATATGACAGAGTACTGCATGAAACAATGCATGTTTAAATACAACATGTACAATGTCAAAAAGATCATGAAAATATTTGTTTTTAATCTCAAAAATTGTTTTTAACATTAACTCCAGATGAGAAAAGTTCATCATGTTATCTTAAGAAAATAAAAAAAGCACAATTACTGTATTAATATCACAAATAAAATTATTATCAAATTAATTATTTAGACACTAAAAGACTTTTTATTAACAGCAGATTCAATTTTGTTTAATAAATGTAAGTACTGCATACAGAAAAATATATATATATATATTTTTAGCATCATCACAGTACAACATGTAGTCCTTCATTTTTTGAAAAGCTCATTACCAAGAAACAAAAGTGAAAATGAAAATATATGCATTCCATATATCACACATATTTAGAATCAAAACAAAAGTAATTGACTTAGAATAAATCTTTTGTAAATTCCTGCTTTTCTCTTATTAGATTCCTAATATCTCTTTGATCACCATTTAGTAAGTCTGAATTCCATGGGTAACATGCATAATGAATTATGAAATTACATGTATATCATGATTTATACAAAAGGACTTAATAATATTCTGAAGATCCCTTAATCATGTGTTAATATATTTTAGGTTAAATAAGGGTGTTCTTATATGAATGTAAGTTAGAGACAACAGATCACATAAGTATTACACAGTCATTAAATTAACCAAATTTAATAATCATACTTAAATGCAAAGATGAACTTCATAGGAAATGTAAACAATTAAAAAAAAAACAAGACAAACTTACCAGAGATATCCAACTATATGCCCAATAAGCCTATCCATTAAATAATCCAGTGAAATAACATCTCAGCTGATCCTGAAAAAATCATACAATACAGTGATACACAATTAACCTCATTTTACAATGTAAGTAAAGCAATAATTTACCGACAAAAGGGATAGAAATGTAAAAAGATACCATGTATTTTACCAAAATTAAGTGAATATTTTTCTGATTGAAACTCAATCATAGAATGACCCATCATAGAAATATTAAATGCACTCTGAGTTACATGCAGGTTATATAACTGTAAATCACATGAAATGAGGATAAATACAGTATTTAAATTCAAAATAGAACTTTACATATAAATCATGGTTAAATACAAAGATGACCTTCATAGGAAATGTAAACAAAAATAAGACAAACTTACCTGTAGAATATGTCTGTCAGAAAGGAGATTTCAAAAATGAAGACGCTCTCAACATTCACATGACAAGAATGCATCAGGATGTTTACTTCCGTGGTCATGGAGAAATTGAGCTTTATACAAGGAAAGCTTCATAACATAACAATCATCAAAGTAAAAGAGAGGAAAAACAAAAGATAGTCCTACATTTTTTGAAAATCTATGTTGACTTCTTAGAAACAAGTGAAAATGAAACTTTAATTTTACAAGTGTATGACGTCATAATGCATAGGGTAGCTCGCTGACATGGATGACGTCACAATGCATAGGTAAGTTTTATCGTACTTTTTGCACACGGCACTTTATAGAGGATGCAAGAGGAATATAAGGAAACACAGGTAAAAGGTATATTTCTTTTGCACACGACCCTAATGTTTTGCACACGGTTCTTTACAGGTGATGCAAACAGGTATAAAAACGCAGGTAAAACGTATTGATTCTTGTTATAATCTGTCTTGTGTGTGTTATTTGTTATTGTTTTCAGTAAAAATCCAGGTTGTTATTGTTTTCAGTAAAAAAAAAATCCAGTTTGAACTGGTTAGGCTGTCTAGACTGTGAAGCGTGACGTCATAATGACATTCTTGCAATGTTTTGCACACGGCGCATTTACCTGTGTCCATAAACAAAACGTAGTACCAACGTACTAATGTAAACACAGTGTAAACACCCAGTATTTAAGGGGGACTATATGTAATGAATTAACCCACCTATCCCCCCAAATCTACACTCTCCTGACCCAGCTATCCCCCAGGGGGACTGTACTGAGTTGATCCGGCTATCCCCCAGGGGATGCACTCAGTTGACCCGGTCATCCAGCCGGCTTCCGGCTAGGACATTTCTGGCTAGCCCACTTCCGCTTCCGCTAGGGCCCACTTCCGCTAGACCACGTAGGGTTAAACCACTTCCGCTTCCGGCTAGCCCACCTCCGCTTCCGCTAGACCACTTCCGGTTATGACGTCACTTCCGGGCTAGCTAGGCCCCTTATACTACTCCCGTGGCCTCATGAGCAGAAGATCGATATGCCAACATGAGTAAGGGTATCAAGTCATCCCAATCTTTTTGATTTTTACTAACAAATGCTGAGAGCATATTTTCAATCGTTCTATTTGCCCTTTCTATCATCCCATCAGACTGAGGTCTGTAGGAAGTAGTTCGGGTTTTGTCTATACCCAGTATTTTACACATTTCTTTGAAAACATCAGATTCAAATGTCTGCCTTTGATCTGAATGAATTTGCATTGGGACTCCAAAAACGGAGACTACATGATTTATTAATTTTTGAGCTACAGTAACTGATTTCTTATTTCTAATAGGGATGGCGTCAACCCATTTGGTGAAGTAATCTCCCACAACTAGAAGATAAGAATTTTTCTTGTGAGTCATTGGTAAAGGACCTAATATATCCACTGCCCATCTTTCCATCGGAGCACCAACCAGGTATTTTTGTAACTGGGCCTTTGGGAATTTATTAGATTTTTCTAGCTGCACATTTATCACAGCTTTTACAAAATTGTTTTATATCTTGGGACATCTTGTGCCAGAAATATTTATCTCGGGCCTTTGACAGAGTTTTATTGAACCCCAAGTGACCGCCCGTTATATTAAAATGTATATCTTTCAATACTTTCCCACTGATAGATTTTGGGAAAATAGTTTGAAATTTTGGTTGCACGCTTTCCCATTTATGATATAACAAATCATCTATATAATGGAGAGAATCAAATCTTGCCCAGTAATATTTGCATGTTTCACTCAGATGGGAAATGTCTTCCCAAAGGGGTTTTTGTTTAGCTTTGACCCATTTTTTTTTACTTCCCTTAGATCTGAGTCTTTACTTTGTAAAGCCCTAATACTGTTTTCTGGTTTGTCATTTTCTAGAAGTATTTTAGTTTCTTCTTGTCTTGTAGGGCTTATCCCAGTGGATGGAGAATTTCCCTTGGACCTTGTGGTAACAGCACAGTTTTTAGGTACGAAACTATTTACTGTAAACCAAGTATTATACGCTTTCGATAAATATCTGCGAGTTCCGCGAGTAACATCCCCTCGATGTTCATTATATTCCTATATCATGATTTATTTAGAGTTATTTGCCCTTTTTTTCAATACCGATCCCGACGGTTCAACAAGTAATCACGGAAGAACTTTACTGTTAGTGTACAAGAAGCAGTTGAAATTTAATTACAAACATTCAGAAAAAATAAAAACGAATGGCAAATCTAAAACTATTTTGTCTAAAAATGATTAAAATGTCAATAATCATTTCAGCTTGTGTTATTATTGTTCATTAATTGTTACAGACGAGTCAGAGAGAGCCTGGTTAATTATGGCTAATTATGGCCCAGTCCTGCTCTGTCCCAACCATTTATAATAATTGCTCCTTGGCTGTGTAGATCTTAGAAAGCGTCGATTACCCAATTAGTATGAGGCACTTTTACAATTGAGAGTTTGAAATTAATTTTAATCTCCTAGATTTTCCCCCGATTTTTGTTTGAGCGTTGTGAAAATGCGCATGACGTATGGTAAACATTTTATCTACTGTAGGGGCGGATATAAGATTTTAAATGGACAGAATGTCTTGAATAATGCGTAAGCAGACCTCACGATACCATTTTACCTAGTTTATGGGCGGATATAAAATTTTATTTGATTCAAAAATACTCGCGGAAATAAAAAAAAAATGTGACCACTCGTTCGCGGAAATAAATCGTCGCGGATAAGTTCTATGGCGGTCAGTCGCGAATAAAAGATGACGCGTATAATAATTGGTTTACAGTATGTTGGGACTAGCAGTTAGATCACTTTGTTTAATTTCAGAAATTATTTCCCTCTTTACTTGGCTTTGGTTTTCCATGGGAGGTTCATTTTGCAAGTTTGTTGACCTAATGATAATTTGTCTTCTGCTTTACTACAATGCTTACAGTCAAAATCTCTCATGAGACAAGGTCTGCGGGACAAAGCGTCCGCATTGTTATTAGTGCGACCTGCCCGGTACTCAATTTTGAAATTGTATGAAGACAAAAATTCGAACCAACGTGCTATTTGGCCCTCTGGATTTTTGAAATTTAACAACCAAGTGAGGGACCCATGATCTGTTCTTACTTTGAATGTCTTCCCATATAAATAGTGGTGAAAGTGCTTTATTGAGTTTACAATAGCTAGTAACTCCCTTCTAGTGACACAATAACGACGTTCAGCAGAACTGAATGTCTTGCTATAATAGCTTATAACTTTTTCTACTCCCCCTTGCTCTTGGAAAAGAACCGCTCCCAAACCTATGTTAGAGGCATCAGTATCTAAATTGAATAAACCTTCTTCATTAGGGTAGGAAAGAATGGGAGAAATAGTTAATGCTCGCCTTAGCTTGTCAAATGCTACATTGCAATCATTATCCCATATAAACTTCCTATTTGCTTCTGTAAGTTTATGTAATGGTCTAGCCATATCTGAGAATTTGTATATAAATTTCCTATAATATGAACGAAGACCTAAGAAGCTTCGAACTTCCTTAACATATCTAGGAATGAGCCAATTGTTGACTGAGTCAATCTTTGAGGGATCAGTGGCTATCCCATTTTCACTAACAATGTATCCCAGAAAGGGAACTTCTTTTTGCAACAACATACATTTCTTTGGGTTCATTTTCAAATAAGACTCCCTCAGTCGTCCAAGAGCCTTTCTTAAATTTTCAATGTGTTCTTCAAACGTTTTAGACAATATTATTATGTCATCTAAATAGACAAGGCATATTTTCCAAGAAAGATTTGATAAAACCCTTTCCATTAGCCTTTCAAAAGTTGCTCCCGCATTACATAAACCAAATGGCATGTTTAAAAATTGCCAGTGTCTTCCCCCTGGGATTGAAAAAGTTGTTTTGGGTTTATCTTCAGGTGACATTTTCACCTGCCAATACCCACTCTTAAGATCTATCGTAGAAAACCATTTTGAACCTGACAGGGCATCTAATGTTGTATCAATTCTAGGTATGGGATAACTATCCTTAATAGTGACATCATTTAACTTTCTATAGTCTATACAGAACCGGATTGTCCCATCCTTTTTCTTAACCAGGATTATGGGAGAACTCCATGGACTGTCTGATGTCTCTATCACCCCCCTATCCAACATATCATTTATTTCCTTCTTGGCCTCAGCCATTTCAGCTAGAGGAATACGTCTAGGAGGTTGTTTAATCGGGAGTGCATTTCCCGTATTTACCTTATGCTCTACTAAATCTGTTGAACCCATGTCAGGTGATGAAAGGGAGAAACTTGTTTGAAATTCCCTTAAAAGTTTTTCTAATCTCTGTTTTTCTTCAGAGCTAACACTAGAATGGACCCTATCTAAAATTTGCTGTAAATGATTGGGCATCTGGGAGTCTTTCCCATTACAATGAGTACTTATGTTCTTCACTACTTCCCCACTATCTATATCTTCAACCCTTTCTATTTGAGGCTACTACACTACCCTTGTGTAACTTTAAACTTTCGTCACCTAAATTCATATAACGTACTGGGACATTTTCCTCATCTACTTCTACCGAAGTTTTTGAAATCAACAATTCATATTTTCCCATAAACTTATCTGAGGGTTCCACTATGGCTGTACCCTGTTGAAAATTGGGACTTTCTATCCTAGCAGGGGCAATAAATTCACAGTTTGGGTGAATCACTATATCTTCTAGTAAAAGAACCCTGCAACAATGGACTACACTATTTGCATCACTAAAACAAGGGATTTCTTCTCCCTGAATCACAAATTTCATTTTCTTCAAACAAATCTCACATGAAAACTTTTTCATAAAATCTACACCCAAAATACATTTGTTCTGAATGTTTGCAACAATCACTGTATGGGAAATTTCAATATCCCTAAGACTAAATTTAAGAAGACTCTCTCCCACAACTGGGATGTCTTCTCCATTTGCTGATCTTAATTTCACACTACAAGATTTTACATTTGACTTTTCTACCAATTGTATCTTTTCAAATAATTTGGGGCTTATAATAGTCACACTGGATCCGGTATCTACTAATATTGTTGTTCTAACATTTTCTATCTTCCCTGATATAAAAATTCCCTCATCTCTTTGTTTAACATCTCCCACTAAAATACTTTTGAGATTTTGTTCATTTTGAGGTTTACATTCTAACTCCCTATTTTGACTTTTCATAGACTTATTTGATA